ATATGTACGTACGAGTTTCCATACATACATGTATGCACACACATACATACATATAATATTTGTTGTGCGGACATTGAAAATACCACTACAACAGTCAACAATGTGCACTAGAAAATCAATAAATTTCATAGTCCATTGTTTCATGCATGTTACATAATGCATTCATAGATTCTAAATAATTTGAATTCATGAAATTGAAATGCAACACGTGGGAGTGTTCTTTTGACCATTTTGTAGTTTACATGCTCAAGGTAGAGTGCAATGTAGAATAGCTATATGTTCCTCGAAGTCTGATCCTTTATATGTTATGCATGTGTTCCATAATAGCCATTTGGTGTGATAGAACTTTTGTCGACTTCAGTCATAAGTTCATTCATAGATGCCAACAAAGAGATTGTGATACACGTTTGAAAGATCGTTCTAATGGCGAGATCAATGGAAGCGTCTCTTTTAGACATGATGGATAAATTTTCCATCTCACCAACGCGTTCCTCCAACCTCGTTAAAAACCATGTCACGTTTTGCCCACTCTATAGGCAATAAGCAAGATTGGTTGTTCATGAACGTTCGAATATTCAAATGATTAGTGGTTACAATTATCGGTACGTGCAAATAACCACTCAAATGCCATAATATATACTTAGATTACCTAACAACAAATGACGGTGAGGAAGAGCTTAAATTGCATGCTATCATCTATATGAATATAGTTCAAGGTCCCCTTAGAAGTTTGGAAATATATTCTTCTGGGACCCACAAAAGTTCGAGCAAATTAGCACTTTACAGAACATGTTTGCCAATAATGCTAACTTTGTATATGGAACTAATATCTACGATGATTTATTTTTTCGATACATTATGTCGCTCTCATCCGTTACCTCCTTCAATATATGACCCACTATTTTTTTGTTGGCTTGACAATGATTGTGATGGATTTGTATTTTTTAGTCCTCAAATTTAGAAGTTTGAAAAGTGTTGTACTACTAGTACTACTACTTAAGATGTTCAATTGTAACATTAGTGGTACCGAACCCCTTGCAAACTCCGACTTTCATTTGACCACCATTGTCTCACCGATCTATCACTTCTCTCTCACAGCATCGCCAAATTATATATACAACATAAAAGCCCCATGACTCCCTTACTAAAAGTAAGCCCTTTTATAATGGTTCAAAAATTAATGCCCTTCTTTGAACATCGCCCACCTAGAGAGAAGAAAAAAAATTACAAAAATATTATTTTAGTTACGAAAAATGTTGAAAATTCTTTTCATGACCATATCCATAACTATCAATAAAAGACATGGATGAAAAAACGTAATCTACCCTCATTAATATGGGGTCTCAACTTTTTTCTATTTTGGTTTTCACTTAGTTGGGAAAACAAACCAAGAACATCACTTCTTTTTTTTTTCTCCTAATTGATATGAATATTGGGACTCAATGGTAATTTCCCCATACTTTGGGATCGATTTCTGTAAATTTAACCAAAAGTGGTTGAACCAAAGCGAACCCACTATACCACTTTCAAGATTTGCCTTTCTTTCATAATGCATGGGGTCTAGCCCTTGTCTCTTGTCATGTCCTTTTTTCTGTTTGTTAACCTATAGCATATAACACCATTTTCATCTCCATCCAAAGTGGTAGGGTCTCTGTTACATGCATTATTAGTTTGTACCTCTAGTCTTCATGCATCCAAGATACCATTGGTTCTTAAATTCAAAACGTTTGTGCAAAATGACTACTTATATGTTTCTTGTATCGGTTGTTAAGAAGAGGCAGGCAGCATCATGAAGCATGGGCCTATCAAGTTAAAAGTTGTTCGAGTCTTTACAAGAAAGATATGTTAATAATTCACACATGGGCGAGGGGCCATCTCTGGAAAAGCAAACAAACTTCATTTCATTTGATCCCTCCATGGAATTGGAAGGGACAATGATGGATGAACAAAAGTAAAATCACAATCAATGCATCAACGAATTGTACCATAAAACCCATCAATCAATTGCATTACAATCTTTTCAAAAAAAAAAAAAAACAGTTATCTGCCCACACTGTCATAATCCACATTGGGATTACAACTCCCTACTCAAACCCTTAAACTATTTTTGTAAATGTTCATTACAATGTTGATCCAAGCAATTACATCTCAAGATTTTCAAAACCCATGTCAAGAATCACCAAGTTATCATACAACTACCAATACAATTATGATATTAATATTAAAGATGGAAACTTGATAGCTAACAATATGTAAAAAGGTCATTTATATTCATTCAAAGACTTGATCTTGGAGGCTTATACATCAACTCCTTACAATGAGTCCAAGAAAGGTGGGGGTGGGGTGGGGTGGGGTAGGGGTAGGGAGGTACTACAACTACTACCCATTTCATTCTCATACCAAGACTCAAGTAAAAGAAGCCTTAGAGATATCATCAATGTCAAAATAGTACACAGGAAATAAAGACACAAAACTAGCTGGTGTAGCATCCCAATCAACCACTAAAACCATGATCCATGAAACACATATAAAGAAAAACCACACGCTTTTAAAACAAGATCATCCATGGCTGCCATTAAAGAAAAAACAAAGACATACAGCTCTTATCGAACGGGTAATCAATAGTTGTGTGGTTTCGCTTCATAGAATTAAGTTTCATTGTTCATGGGCATAGTGGTAAATTGGACGATTAACAAAAATGCAAAAATACCAGCTTCTTTTTTCCCCATTATTATTATTATTATTATTATTATGCAGCAATGAACATGGAGGTCTCGAAAATTTCCTCACAATTGTCCTCTTTCTGCATAATCTCACTTTGCAAAGATGAACTCGCCTCACCATTGTTCTTCTCCATCTCTTCCTCAATCAAAATCTCCTCTGATCTGCAATTCCAACTGCAAAATGCTTTCTCACCTCTAAAAACCATAAAACCAAAACACAACAAAGAATAGACCACATAAGTCTTTAAAGCAAGTTTTGATGTAAAAATGAACATATGATTGAAAGTTCGGGGACTGAACCTGTACATGTAGATATCTTCGCCTTCCAATTTCTTCTTGCAAGAGTAACAAAAGCTCAAGAAATCATCAGAGAGGTAAGAAGTCATGACTTGAGAAGGTTTAGAATCAGATTCTTCAGAAGATTTAGGGACAAATTCGTCTTCGTGGCGTTCTAAAATACAGTCACCAAAATTATGAGTTGTTTTAGGGTTAGGCCCATGTTTTCTAACACATGTATAATCCTCAGAAAGCTCAATCTCACTTGCTGAAAGGGATCCCACTAAATCTTTTCCGGGGTTTTGTGTGTTTGACAAACGGGTATTTGAGTTGGGCGGGCGGGTCGTTAAACAGGGTAAATTCGACCCGAGATTTGAAGAATCCAAAGAATGTGACCAAAACTTTGAAGATGATTCTTCTGAAATCAGTTTAGAATTTGAGGTCTTGATGTGGGTGGAAGGGAAAATGGCATAATTTTTAGGGAGTGAGTTGGATAACGAGTCAAACGGGTCGGTTTTCAAACTCGGGTTGTTCAAGATTCTCATTTGAGGTGCAAAAAGAATGCTCTTACTGGCTGATGATCGGAGTATTTTCCCAGATGAGGGTTTTGTCTCATCTTCAAGAGATTCTATAATGCTTAAACCTACTTTGTTACAATTCCAACTCTTTTGAGTTGTTTCATTTGGTTTTGGGGATGCCCTGATTGGAAAATTCCCAAAGTTTGGTTTTGAAAATACTTTGAAATCCAAAGGGGAAGTGGGGCTTCTAACTGAATCAGATTCTGAGTTTTTAGGGTTTAGTCCTACGAATAAACCAGGAACAGTGAAAAAGGAATTGGTTTTGTGTTTTTGTTTCAAGAAAGCATCGGAATTTGTATAGCAAGACTCGTTAGAATAAGAATCGGGAATCAGATGATGTGTCTGACCCATGTTTTGTTGATCTTTCTGGTGTGATCTGGTTCTCTTCCTCAGCATGTTCGCACACCCTGTTGAAAAAACACCAAAAAAAAAAAACTTGATTTAATGTTCGAGAAAAGAGAATCAAATGCGCAACGATGAAGAACCACCATCGGAACCCTTATCTAGAAATTTTAATCATCATCCGGTCCTAGCGAGCAGGTTAAAAGAATCAAATCGAATGCAGGTTTCAAGAACACTGTTGGAAGAGGATCAAGACCCTTGATTAAAATCAGACATGGTTGATCATACCTCAAGAATTTGAATGATATCCAGTTCCGGCAATGTGCATTATGCATAAACAGTAGCATCAGATTATGAACAGAAGACTACAGATCAAAATAGAGTAAAGAAAAACCAGATAGATGATCAAACAGATAAAGGACCCACAAAGTTCTGCAAATCAAAGTGTCAAGAAAAAATAGTCAAAATAGTCGAACATCAAGAAGAGGGGTTCTAACTTCTAAGCTTTGTCTGTGATGAAACTCGAAAGATGCGCAAAAAACAAGACTAAAATCCAAAAAATCCTTGCAATATCAAAAGCACGAATCACTCAAAACCCAAAAGATTACCATTTCATGAACAGATTAACCTCATAACTTCTTCAGTTCTTCCCCAAATGAAGCACAATCATCAAATATACACAGATGCATTAATCAAGCTACATAAGTTGAGAAATCTATGACTTCAAATAAATCATATACAAAGAAAGATGGTGAATGAGGATCAGATTAGTGGAACGAACACAGGAGAAACAACTTCAAGAGTAAACATAGCGATAATCTAGAAAAGCAAGTAAAACACCCAAAAATGCAGAGGAAAAATGGATGAAAAGCGATGAGTTGAATCAAATTTGGGGGAAACCCACCTCAAAAAACTTCACACCGATGATGTTTCGAGAGGAGAAAGACCCTCAAAAATCCAGAAAGTGTTTTCTCAACTCCCCACTCTCCCTCTCTATGGTTGTGTGAAACTTGTACAGTACTGCTCTCTCTCTCTCTCTCTCTCATCAAAATCAGAGAAGAAATGAGCTTCTCAAATACTCTTTTTCTCTCTCTGTAGAGTGTAGCGGGGTTTTACTGTATGTATGAGGATACGTATACTTTTATATATACAGTAATTGCAATGATGAAACTTTGTTATTTACTTATTCATTTGCTATCTCATTTAATAATGAAAAGACTGTACTTGTATTAAATGTATTAAATGGTACTTATTTTTTAAATGTATTTATTCTTGATAAATCCAAAAAACAGGAGGGAATTATTTTCTTTATTAGAACTACTTTATTGATTCCAAATATAAAAGTGTTAACTCAAATTAGAAGGAACTTAAACAACTTTTAAGAAAACTTTGTAAAGAATGAAATACAAGTCTGATTGTTTTTATTTTTCTTATTCTTGAAAAACCTCGGTAATTTATAAATACCTAGTTAAATTAACGCTTAACTACGTGAATAATTGAGGTATTCGAAGAATAATTTAGAAATTTTATATAAATTTAGATTTATCCAAATGATTCTTATGTTTGAAAATCATATTTGGAACTAAATTATTATTATTATTATTATTATTATTATTATTATTATTATTATTATTATTATTATTATTTTGAATGCTAGCAAGACTATTGAAATGTGACATAATAAAATTCTAAATCCGTGCATTCTATATATTAGGTTATGGTTAGTATATTTTATTTTAGACTTTGTTTTCTTTTTTTATATGACATGTTGTATGTTTTGATGTTTGAAACTCAAAGAACAAATCATAAACAAATATTTGGATTCTAAAATATTTCTTTTTTATTGAAATCTAACAAAATAAATAAATAAACTTCTCATAATCTAAGTATATATTGATAAAATGGATGAGAGAATTTTTACTTGTGTTTTGTGCGAATGAGAATAAACTGAAAAATATATACATCTACAACCCGAAATGACTTTATTTCGGAATTGGTGGTCCTTTCGACAAATGCAAAATAATAATAATAATAATAATAATAATAATAATAAAAAAAAAAAAATCGTACTCCTTTTGAGTTCGATAATCATGTGGTTATCTTGTGAATATCCACATATTTTTTTTACTAAACTCATTCTTTTTTTAAACTATTGACATAATTATTTAAGTAAAGTTAAAAAGAAATGTTTTTGTTCTTGGCAATGCAAGAATCGTTTGTGCATAAATTGTGAAAACGAATACAAGAGATTGGTGGACCGTATTTCATCTATATTCATTAGGTTACAAGAGATACATATTTATACAAGAGATTGCTACCAAACTACCAATTACCTAGCCGTAACTCTAGGATCTGAAAAACTACAACAATTATCTACACCAAATATTAAATCTGTAAGGCTTATCTTCTCCCAGTATAGCTCTCGCCAACACTTCCCATCAAGATGGAGAATGTATGTCTAACATTCCCAGCTTGCTAAGAGTGCAATGGAATGATCTTCCACACACCGCTTTAGTTAGCATATCTGCTAGTTGGTCACTTGAGGCAACGTGTGGAAGCTCTACAGTCTTTCTCTCTAAATGATCATTTATGAAATGTCTATCAATCTCAACATGCTTCGTCCTGTCATGTTGCACCGGATTGGTTGCAATCTTCACCGCAACTTCATTGTCGCAATACAACTTCATTGGAAACCTTTGTTCAATTCCAAGATCACGCAGAATCCTCTTGATCCAAAGCAACTCACAAATACCATGTACCATCCCTCTAAATTCTGCCTTAGCACTTGACCTCGCCACTACCTTCTGTTTCTTACTTCGCCACGTAGTAAGATTTCCGCCAACAAACGTGAAGTAACCAGATGTAGATTTTCCATCATTTCGATCTCCTGCCCAGTCTGCATCTGAGTAACCAAATACGCCACCGCCTTTATTTTTTCCAAAAAACAAGCCTTTTCCTGGAGAAGACTTGAGGTACTTCAGAATTCGATACACCGCATTCATATGGTCTTCACTTGGTGATTGCATAACCGGCTAACTACACTTACTGCATAGGCAATATTCGGTCTCGTATGAGATAAATAAATTAACTTCCCAACCAGCCTTTGGTACCTTTCTTTAATTGTCGGGACTTGTTCTGATGAGCTAGAGAGTTTGTGATTAACTTCAATCGGTATGTCTACTGGCTTACAGTCCAACATACCAGTTTCAGTGAGAAGATCTAGAACACACTTTCTTTGACACATAGAGATTCCATTTTCAGACCTTGCTACTTCGATCCCAAGGAAGTACTTTAGTGGCCCGAGGTCCTTAAGCTCAAACTCCCTCTCTAGAAGTGACTGAAGTTTGTTTATTTCATCTGAGTCGTTTCCGGTGACCACCATATCATCCACATACACAATTAAGGCTGTAATCTTTCCGGTGTTTTTCACAAACAGAGTGTGATCGGCATCACTCTTTTTATACCCTATTTTCTTCATAAAATTAGAAAAACGTCCAAACCACGCCCGAGGTGATTGTTTCAAACCATACAATGCCTTCTTGAGCTTACACACTTTCCCGTTGTAGTTTATTCCCGGAGGCAAATCCATATACACTTCATCTTCCAAACACCCATTTAGGAAGGGGTTTTTCACATCAAATTGCTTAAGTGGCCAATCCTCATTTGCTGTAACTGATATTAATATTCTGATCGTGTTCATTTTTGCGACCGGTGCGAATGTATCCCCGTAATCAATGTCGTATTTCTGCGTATAACCCTTCGCCACAAGTCGTGCTTTATACCGATCTATGTTCCCTTTTTCATCAAGCTTTATCGTGAATATAAATTTGCATCCCACAGTCTTCTTTCCCGAAGGGAGTTCCACGAGATCCCACGTATCGTTTTTTTGTAACGCCTCCATCTCGTTGTTCACGGCTGTTTTCCACTTGGGGTCTTTTTTTTGGAAAGGGAACTTCCCTAACGAGGGTTTCCGGGCCAGTTTTCGCGCACCAACTAATCCTCCGCTGCAAACATGAGGCTTTGCCTCATGCCCTGGAGTCACTGCAAGCGAACTTGTTAATTTCTGTTGTGAAACAAAGTTGCTGATTGGGTAATTTGACTTTGCTCTCACATCAGGTTCATACTGTTTCTTTGGTACTCCTCTATTGACACGAGGAGGCAATCTTGATTCCCTTTCTACTTCGGTTTCCTGCACAACATCATCAACAAAAAAGTCGTTATCATTGGTAAGTTGCTAATTTTTTTTTTTAAAACTACTTAGGTTGTGTTTGGCGCACCACAATTAGCTGATAAGCTAGCTTATTTTTCGAATTTTTTTAAGTTGTTATGTTTGGCAAACAAAATAGTAGCTTATAAACTAGCTTTTTAAAATGTTACTTAGACTAGATTTTTAGGAACTTTTTAAAAATTTCCAAATATACCCATTAAATAATTATAGTAACATATTCTTTTAAATGTCATTTTATATTTTTCAGCTAGCTTTTAAGCTACTTTTACCAAACATCATTTTTTTTATCAGCTAGTTTTTTATTTAACAGCTACCTTTTCATTTATCAGCTAGCTTTTCAGCTAACTAGTTTTTCAGCTTGTACGCCAAACATATCCTTAGACTAACTTTTCAAGAGTTTTTATGAAAAATTTCAGATATACCCTTAACTAAATATAAAAAAAACATATTATTATAAATGTCATTTATATCATTTTATATCTTTCAAGTAGTTTTACCCAACACTATTTTTTATCAGTTAGTTTTTTAGATATCAACTAACTTTTCTTATAACCGCTAGCCTTTCGACTAGTACTCCAAACATAACGTAAATGATGAGTTTTACAAATAAAATAAATAAGACTTTTCAATTTTGTAAGAACTCAGACCATTTTTTTTACATATTACAAGTGTTTCGACGTTCTAAAGAAACAATATTATTGTATTATATTAATTTTGGTTTATAAATTTATATAATAAATATTTATGATTTTCTTAGATGAAAATTAATAAATAAATAAAAGTTTGTTGATAAGATCGTTTCAAACAAAGACATCATAATTGCTAAAATATATTTATATTTAATCGTATAAGATAATCACTAAACGTATGTATATGGTTTATTTATTTTTAAGGGATAGGTGTTCTTCAACCAAAGAGTGGGGTTCAAGTCTCATTGTGGACGAAATGTGTAGATTTAGGAGTAGATTAGTGTGTGCATGTAAATTGTTTTAAAAAAAATCTAAAAAGGTTTTTTGTTAAACACTAGTTGAAGTAGCTTTTCAATTTGGAAACTTTTGTTTGACCCAAAAGATAAAATTTCCTGCTGTAAATGAAGTTTTTATTTTTCGAACTTTTTCTTAAAAGCTAGAATCTAGAAGCTTCCAAAAGTTGCATACCGAACATACCCTAAGTAAGAAATCCATTTGCTTAATGGTTAACCAAGTGCTACTCTAAAGGACATGTCCCAGATCCGATCCCTCCACCAACGACTTCCATTTTTTTTAAATGATGTTGTAATACCTAGTCTATTCAAACATTTCTCTGAAATTCTTTTGTATTTAAAGTTTGAAAATTTAAGGTTATGCCCTACGCTCGGCGTAGGACAGTCCCTACGCTGAGCAGAGGAGAGGAAATATGGTCGTGAGTTAATGATCTACGTTGAGCGTAGACTAGGTTACGTCGAGCGTAGCCACGTTGGACCAAAACCCTAGATCTAGGGTTGTGAGCCCTATTTAAAGGCTCTCACTCCTTGGTATCCTCCCCATGCTCAACCTCCTCCACCCTCCCAAAACGCCCCCTTGAAACCCTAGCCACCATTTGTGAGTTTTAAGCCCTTGGAGTAACTTGTGTGCTCTTTTGAAGGAAGAAGGTGCTTGTAGAACCAATTGGAAGCTTCAAGTTGTGTAGATCTGGGATTTGCAAGCAAACATCCAATCCCTAGGAGATATAAAACTTTCATCTTGATGCTTGTTTATGTTAGATCTAGTGTAGTTATGTGATTTTATGCATTTTGTCCCCATAATCTTGGTCGTTGTGAGTAGGGGTTACTCCAAACCATTTTAATGTCATTTTATGATGTTCTTGAGGTTATAGAGTCATAAAAATGAGAGCTTGGATACTCTTATCCATCCATGTATGAGTTCTTGAGCAAAAGTTGGCTTTATGGACTTACGGTTTGGTTTTGTACTCTTTCTAGCCATGCAAATGGATAAAGTCTGAGACTTTATCCATTAAGACGTCCATTTGATTCGGATATGAAAGTTTGAGGGATTAGTATTTCTATATTAAGAGCTTAATATAATTTTTGGTCATTAGGGGGCTACGTCGAGCGTAGATTCCTCTATGTCAATCGTAGCATGAAAATCCCTAATTTTCCCACCTAGAGCTTTACGTTGAGCGTAGAGCAGTATGTTATGCCGAGCGTAGGTCAACCGAAGGTCGGTCGTTGACTTTTTGACTAGTTTGACTTTTGGTCAATTGTGTTGGGATTTAGTCTTGGAGGGGCAAAATGGTCTTTTGCCCAAAGAAGGACTAATTGTGAACCAAGACTCTTTGAGATATAGTTATTACCTAAATTATCAATTAGGGTTTGTTATTGTGTAGATTTAGAGTGAGGAGACATCTTTCACCAACTTCCCGACCTTTGTGAGTTGCAGTGTAGTTACTCTGATTAGCAAGGTGAGTTTTATCATTATACTTTGTACTGTAGTATGTATCATTGTGTGTAGGGTGTTGTCATATTGTAGTGATGTGTTAGTCTGATAGATATGTTATGAGTATCTATGTTTGTTGGTTATTGTTTGTTGTTGCATATATCGACATATTGTGGTTGGGTTGAGGCGGTCCTGCTCTGTGTTGTAGGTCAAGACACCCGAGCAGTCTAGTTCATATTGTAGGCCCAAGGAGACGGTCCAACCACATGTTGTAGGCTCGGGAGAGCGGTCCAACTATATGTCGTAGGCTCAGGAGAGCGGTCCAAGTGTATTATAAGCCTTACGAGACGGTCCAATCAAACTGAAGGCTCATGCGTGCATGTTTAGTATGTATATTGTTGTGTGGGGTAATTTGGGGAACTCACTAAGCTTTGACTTACAAATGTGGATTTAAATGTTTCAGGTACTTTAGAGGATCGGAGGAAGGCGAATGTGTGATTGTACACCTCATCTAGTGGTTGATATGTTTTTAAGAGATATTATGTTTGATACTTTGATTTTATGATGTGGTTGTGAAACAATATTTTATTGATTTATGTTTTATGGAAAACTGGTTTATTCATTTTTTTAAAAATGAAAAATTTTATTATGATTTTTGGAATGTTAAAGATGTTATGCTACGTCAGGAATTCAATCCATATAAGCGAAAAGTGTCATATATTATTGTGTTTTTTTGAGGTAAATGTAAGGTTATGTCTAAATATTATAGTTTTTATGGCATTATCCCAACCTTTAAATTAATGTCACTTATACAAAATCTAACATATACTTATCATCATATACTTTTGGTCCATTTTCAATCTAAAGCTTCTAAAATGAAAATCGTTACAAAATTCAGGACACAACATTTTAAATTTAGTTTTGAAATGTAAAATATAAAAAAGCGTATTAGTACTTGTATGGTATAACTCCTAAGAATCCTCGTCGACAAAATGTTAGATATATTTTTAACATTTTTAGTGATTATGACACAAATGATACCAATTTAAAGTTGTTGTAGCCTCTTTTTAACACAGTTGTAATTAGGTGACCTATATAATTTTTTACAAATATTAGTGATCTTTAGCATCACCAAAAAGGTGTATCATGCTTTGGTAGAAAGTTTTTTAAACTTCAATTACCCATGGTAATGATTATGGTAGACATAATTTCCTTTCACTTTATTATATGTATGATTAAATATAAAAAGGAGATACATTTAAAAGTATGATGGGTATTTGATTAACAAAAAAAAAACATATATTTTACAATAAGTACCATATGTTTTAAGATCTTAAAAGTAATATAATATTTTTGGTAAACTATCATCATCGATGGAATATGTAATATGTTCTTCCTTATTATTTAAT